TTTTCACTTCAGTTAGTCCAGCATTGCTTCACGTGTTGCCTCCTCACTACAACAACAATCTTCTTTTCACATTTTTATTGTTTCCTGTCTGGTCTGGGATCAGATTCAATTCAAAAAAGTCAGCATGACAGATCCTAAAGACGTTACTTCGGGTTGATAATTCAATATCGATAATTATCAGGATAAAAGCCAAATCGTTGTTTCTTTCAGGTTTAAAGGCTGAGTTTTGCTACTGACTGAAAGTTAATTGTGGTTTTAAACTTTTCTTTCTGGTCAGAACAAACACTTGATGCCAAACAGAGTGTCACTTCACAGATCTGAGGCAGGACATTCAGAACTATTCTGATAAAATCTGTTTTCAACAAATATGCACAAGTTAAATTAATTAAAGTCTTTTTCTGTCCCTTTTCCTCAACAAAATAAATATCTTAATAGAAAAATTAAGTGCTGATTCGTTCATGATTCAAATGAATTAAATCTTACTGAACATTTGTCATATTGTCAGTGAGGAAAATTATATTGTGATAATTATCGTTATTGTTTTTTATTGCTCAACTTGGTTAACAATTGCCATCAATTAACTTTTGATATTTGTACACCTATAAAGTAGTCCCGTTTTTTTGATCGTATTACGCTTGCATATCTATACGCCAAGTTCATAAGGAACTTTATATAAAGTGTGGTGCTTGTTGTGACAGCGGTCTGATGCACGTGCAGAGCAACATGTCTGACACCGTTATACTGCATCTGGGCTCAGGACCACAGGGATGTTAGAAAGTCATACCAGCTAGATCATCTCTGAAAAAGTCTTGTAAAATGATCTCTAGGAGAGAGTGGGAACCCTGGTTTCTTACTACATATGTTACGTTAGTACAGTGTTTGGGGGCTGCTGTCTGATTTCAGAGGTTTGAATCCCCCCCAGTCCAAATTCTCAGTGTCAACAAGTTAGTTATATATAATGTCATTTTGATTATATTTTCCATAAATTGGAGCTTCAAAGACTATAAAACAATAATAAAACAGCAGATGTTAATAAAAAATGTCCCTCTAAATAAAAAGAGGCAGCTGTCACAGAAGAGTTTGCCATAAACTTTAAATAGAAGAACGTCTCTGTTTAGCTGTCGCTGTGGCCGACTGGTCGGTTTCATGTTGGTGAATCTTCATTGTTTTGAAGAAGCTGTTGATGTCTTTCAGACAGCTCATTTGCTCCATCTCTGCAGTGGGGGGTTGTGGGCTGGTTGGAGGTATTAAGCAGCGTGATGCTGTGCTAATTCCTGGTTGGATTAAGAGCTGCAGCCTCAGGAGTTTAACGAGGCCTGTTGACAGGCGGACTGTCTTCTGACTTTTATTGCAGCTTCCTGTTTAGTTTGCAGAGTCTGGCACCTGTTCTGGGTGTTTATGACGGTATGGAAATGACTCTGTATATGTTGTAGATAAGAGGATCTCAGAATGAACAGTCCGTCTTTGTTTTCTCGGCTACATGTAAATCAGGCTCTCGCGCTGTCAGACTGACAGAATGAAACAAAGCTGTAGTTCAGGCTACGTTTGCACCATAACATTATAAACACATAATATGCAATAGTTTATGTAAGTAGCTTTACAGTGATTAACATCATGAATAAAATGTGCACATTAACATGAAGCTAACTTCTTTCTGGATGATGATGTCTCAAATCCGACATGAAGAAGTTATGTTCAGACTTTGATATCTTCAGACTCTATCTTAATTATATTTCTGTTATTATATTTGATTTTATAAAGTGTGTATATTCTACTTTCTGCGACCCTGTACACAGGAAAAGCGGTTGAGGATGGATGGATGTATATTCTACTTTTATTGTATTTTGTTCCTCTTTCTTAACATTAATAAAGGAACATCTGATCTCATCTTCATTATTGAAATCACAAAGAAAAACCTTTAAAGACAGTCGCCACAGTCCTCCAGCAGCTCCACTTTAAATGATCATTAGTGCCCACTCGGGATGCATTTGAGACCATTTCTAATATTTGAACTGTGATTCTTCTCAACTTTGACGCCTTCAGTCTGTACTCACAACGTATTGAGATTGTTTAATGATGCTCGCTGATGACAGGAGGTCTCACTCCCCCTCCCTGTTGTCGTCCTGAGGGACAGACGGCCCCTCCTCTCCAGGCTCTGATTGGCTGTGGCGTTTCCTAGTCGACCTTGGTTCTCTGACTGACGGCAGTGACCCACTTCATCTGCATGAACCTGAAGGAAAACGGCGGCGCTCCAGTTTTCCTTCAGAGCTGCATTTAGGACAGCAGGACAGCTGCTTCTCACAGAGGCTGATTCTGGTTCAGCTCCAGCCTCTGTTGGTTTCATTAATGTCGGACACACTGAAAGATTACTTTGATTTTCTGTTGACAAGAACATTGGCTGATGAGAGGAGAGGCTTGAACCATGATCCACCTCTGCAGACCAGCTAATGGGCTGCAGTGCTGAATGTGAACCTCCTCTGAGCTAGTCCACTGTGGCTGTAAGCTTTTAGTTTGGATGTGAACCAGGACAGAGCTGGCAAAGTGAATATTACCTCCAAACCTTTCCCAGAGATATTTGAAGAGCAAAACATTAATCATTTTACCCAGAATCCCCCCTGATGTGTGACCTGGTGTTTAAAAACTGGCAGCAGAAAGCTTTCAGCTCGCAGTTTAAGCTATTGTGACTGTGTACTCTGTGTACTCTGTGTACTCTGTGTACTTGTTCCAAAGCCTGAAGAACAGATCTCTCTCTCTGCCAGGTTCACACTTTATCTGCTTCCTCCAAATGAGAAATTTTATTCTCAGAAATAAACAACAAATCTGCTCCAAATCCATCATCATGTATCCTCTTCCTAAAAAAATGAATTTCAGACTTTTGTCATAAAGAAGCAGCGTCAACATGACTTCAAAGAATCAACCAAAAACATTTTAGGATTCGTAACTGGATGTCAGTCTGTCAGCATAGCTACGTAGAAGGCAGTGTTACATTTTGTGCAAACATCCATGTTCCCCACAGGACGAATAATACTGATCTCGGTGATCCCTTGACTTTTCCTCTAAGCACCACCATGAGATTCATATTTGTGGTTTTGAAATATCTCGACAAAGAATAGATAGATTGTGATGAAATGTGGTTCAGCCCTTCGTGTTCCTGTCAGGATGAACTGTAATAATTTTTCTGATCCTCTCACTTCTCATCTAGCGCCATCATCAGGTCAACACTTTGCTTTACGACCAAGTACCTGCAGAACTAGTTCCCATGAGCCTTGGCGTACTTTGTGTCTTGTGCTAATTAAATATTAGCATGCTAATGTGCTAAACTATGATTGTGAACGTGATAGACATTATACCTGCAAGCATGGCTGCAGAATCTTGCAACTTAACAGCACAGTCACTTTGCTCCTGATGGTTGGCCAGCACTCTGTGTTGTAGCTCACTGCCGTCGGTGTGTGACTGTGTGTGTGTGAATGGGTGAAAGAGAGGTTAAATTATAAAGTGCTTTGGATGAAAGTTCTACTTAAATGTGACCATTTACCCTTTCATTTTTTTTTACCATCATAAGATTGGGGTTGTTATTTGAAAACACATTGGAAGTGTGAAGATGTTGATGAGGCATAATAACAACTTGGCTCAGATGTGTGACTGTACTTGAAATCCTCCAGGCGGCATCTTGCTGTCTGCCCCTTGATAATAAAACATCCAGACTCACCTTGTCAGTAAGGTAGAAACAGAGCTCTGTGTAGGTCTGAAATTAGTTTTAAATTGATGAAGGTTTCATCTCAGCTGTCCTGGATTTCTTCTCTTGACTGCTGTTGGCTCCAAGCAAGACTTTCTGTAGATCCGTGTTTTTGTGTTGAAAGGACTTTTTAAGGCTCGTAGGTGGAAGCAGCTCAAAGACAGAATGAGGACAGAATAATGTGCAAACACACAGTGTCACTTTCACATTTTTAGAAACCATGAAGAACAGTTTACTGACCCCGGGGAACACCAGAGGCTTCTTTATGATCATCACAGGAAGGCTTTTTATCTGTCTTCTACCAAGAAGGTGCAGTGTGACTTAATTTTCCGGGGATTTCCATTCCCCCTTTTGTCTTGTATTTATTTACCCGGGAATCCGAACAACCTGCTTTGTGTTGTTCCCACTGTTTATGAAAACCCAACAGAAAGGTCAAAGAAGGCAGCTCATTTTTCACATCAGGCAGAGTGGAAGAAGAGAAGTAGAGGGCTGATGTCAGGTTGAAGGTTCAGATCCTCAGAGAGCATGAAGCTCAGTGGCCTCCGACGGGCCTTTGAGCAAGTCCTCGCTCAGCACCACCCAACCAGGATAAATAAAGGCTGGAAAACGCTGCTGCTATGAAGGTTGGCGGGCTGTGGGAGGCGATCTGGCTCTGGGCCCGACAGCAGATACCCTGCTGGAGTAACAGATGGCCCAGTGCATCATGGGAGTTACAGTATGTCCACAAATATCTGATTTTGTCTTAAATAGCACAGGATGCTGCCGTGAAGGTGAAGAAGACAGGTTTTGTTTTTAGCTTGTCTGTGGGTTGAGTGCATCACTTCACAAACTCATTTATCAACACAATCAATGTGTATTTTATGTTTTAAAGACGCAGGAAGCACAAAATCAGAAATTAGTAGCTGAATAAGTGTTAATCCTGGATCTTGCCATCAGCTCTTAGAAAAGCTCAGCAATGGTCCGGTTTCCTCGTCCAGACGCTGGTTTTAAGACCTGGGCACCTCCTTTGATGTGTGATTGACATTGTCATCGGACTATTAAAGCTGAAACATGCACATTGGGTCTCACCATAAAACTTCCAGAGTTGATTCCACGTGACAAAGAAGTAAAAGCAGAGTCTGAAAAAGTGAAATCAGCCAATAAAATCATTCATCAATTCATCTGAAGCCAGTGTTGCTCCGTGAGACGTTCACCTGACATTATCTACAGAGGAAATTAATGTAACTCCACCCTTATCGTTTCTGGTGTTTCTGCTCTTTTGTAGATGTTCCTCACCGTGTACCTCAGCAACAACGAGCAGCACTTCAGCGAGGTTCCCATCACGCCGGAGACGCTGTGCAGAGATGTTGTGGAGCTCTGCAAGGAGCCCGGCGAGGGCGACTGCTACCTGTCCGAGACGTGGAGAGGCTCAGGTCACCTTGAGATCTTATTATCTCATCAGGCTAAAACTTTTTTTCCCCTCGTAATCACAGTTTAGTCAAAATTAACAGTCTACGTTCTGTCTTTTAAACTAATCAGATCGTGTCGTTGGAGAAGGGGAGCCGATGTTGGAGGTGTTGCAGCGATGGGGGCAGCAGAGGGGGGAGGTTCAGTACCTCCTGCGTCACCAGAGAGCACCAGGACAAGAGTCAGGTAAGAAACACACTCATGTTATAGACCAGATTTTAAAAACACCCATTACTTCTGGGGCGGCTGTGGCTCAGGATGTAGAGCGGGTTGCCGGTTAATCAGAAGGTCAGCGGTTCAGTCACCGAATGTGTGTGAATGTTAGTTTGTTTGAGCACTTAGGCTCAGTGTGTGAATGTGTGTGACTGGTGAATGCAGATGTAGTGTAAAAGCGCTTTGAGTGGTCAAAAAGACTAGAAAGGCGCTATACAGAGCATTTACATTCTGTGTACTCCCACAACCCAATGTTATGCAGTATCGTTAAGACTATACGTCTACAAAACTTAACTGTTACGAGGGTGGTGTGGTGTGGTGTGGTGTGGGGACAGAGGACCCAAACGCAGCACTCAGAGCGAAGGAGGTTTATTGAGGGGAAAAAGGGGTAGAGGGACTGGAGCGGAGGGAGAGGTGGATGCCGGGAAAACTCAGGCACGGGAAACTAAGGGGACTGGGGACCAGGGAACACTGTGGTTGAGGAGGTGAGGCAGAACAGGGAGGACACCGTGGGGGAAGTCCGAGGAGGTGGATGAGCCCAGCCGACTGAACGGAGGACGAGGGTGAGTGAACCTGGGAGGGAGAAAGACAGGGTTTGAGATCACGGAGACAAAGCACAGGGAAAATGAACCAAACAAAAAACCACGAGAGCCTGAACGTGGAGGTGGCACCGGGTATGGAGCAACGGCGATCAAGCAAGAATGGTGTGGAGAACCGGGGTTGAAGTACAGGCAGGGATGAGGTTGACTACTGGCAGGTGTGGCAGGCTGAAGAGGTGGCTGATGAGGTGCAGGTGCGGGTCGTTGGCTGGGCTCAGGTGCAGAGGGAGAGAGAGAGAGAGAGAGAGAGCACACACACAGGGGAGGAGACACAGGGAGGCAGGCAGGCAACCGAAAACCAAGGAAAAAGCAGAAATAACCAGGACACTCACCGTCAGCCGGGCTGCCACCACAACACTAACATTGGTTTGGGGACTGCTGCTTTGAAGCCTCGTGTTTGGCATTTTGGCTGTCACCATCTTGTTTTTTTGGAGCCAGACTGATGAGATGGTGGAGCTAGCTAGCTTGGTTAGCAAGATGCATCCGTGATTCATGTTAACATTTTGGCTAGTGACAAACAGGCTTAAAATAAAATGTACAACCTGCTTCTTAGTGTCTTTTATTAAAACCATACGCTGAACAAGAAGACATTTGTAGGACCAAATTGTTCCAGTTAACTTTCCTGAAGTGAAAACACTCTGTGAAAGGGTCAAAGCTCTGAGACGAAAGCACCGACAGCACCCAAAGTTCACGGCTCGGTAAATGTACACAGAGCATGTGATGGCTCTATCCAGAAGGTAGCCCCTCACTAAAGCCTCCCCTGCTTTCTGGTCTATGTTCCTCTAAATGGGACCATAATTTACTAAATGAACATCATGCTGTGTTGAAGAAGACTTGAAACTAGCAACTGAGACCATAAACTCATCAGGAAAGTTTTTACTGAGGGAATAAATCAGCTGAGAAGTAGAAACATTTTACCATAGACTTCTATACAATCAAACTTCTTTCTGCAGCCGGTGGAGTCGCCCCCTGCTGGCTGCTAGAGAGGATGCAGGTTTAAGGCGCTTCAGCAGTGGCTTCACTTTCAGACCAGGAAGTTCCTGCTTCAAGACAACAATGCTGAATCTCCGGACGTCCAGGCAGCGTTCACTGCACAACTCTAAACGTGACAAAGTAAGAAAGGGATTATGATGTTGGTGCTGTCAGGTGGATCAGGGAAGTCAGTCTCTGGCACCTTCTTGCCAAATAACTTGATTGGTCAAGGCCAGTACGTAGTCTGCCATTTCTCTTAGCCAAGTCATGACTATGATTGCCTTCTCTGACACAGTGACCATTTCGAAAGACAAAAATGGCGTTTTAGAGATGTTCAGGCAAGACTTTGTTACATTCAATTCAATTCAATTCAGCTTTATTGACATGAATGTTAAACAACAATGTGGCCAAAGCTACTAATAAATTACAAAAGAACAATTCATTTCATACAGTTCATTAAATAAAGTAAATACAACAGCAAAACTGTGTGTTTGTATGTGTAAAATAAAAAATAAAGATAATTATTATAAATAAAAATAAAGAAATAAAACAGTAAGCGTGTGTGTGTATTAATAGAAAATAAATAAATAAAAAACATCTACAAAATAAGTATCAAATGTGAAATAAAAAACTAATAAAAGAACAATTAATAAAATAACAAACAATGAAATAATAATAATTTGAAAATTAGTATTTAATATATTTATCAGTCTTGTCTGAGTTTCCACTGGTTGTCCTCAGTTCGTGGCATGAGGATACATATTTTGCTGCAATAATTTGGCATTCTGGCCATTTACATTCTCTAAACTACTTCTCTAAATTTAACTCTGCAGCTCCATAAGCAAAATGAATTAAAGCCACAACTCAGCAAACTGTAAAGGTGATTCCATCTAGTACTTTCGTCACTGCATATCTGTAGGGATTTGGTAGAAACCACACCTTGTTCACAGTCAGCTGCCAGACTCTGGTACATTTTATTTAAGTTGTAGCTGAGAGACTGCAAACTTGTCTTAATTAGTATTAAAATACTTGTCACGGATGCAGAGCGAACAAACATTGTTGGAAGTGTGAGAATCTCCCTCCAAACAAACTGTGAACACTCAGATCACTCAGAACACTGAGTAAAAATACTTTAAACTATATATATTCAAGGTAATCCAGTTATTTTTTGTGCATGTCGAAGTACCACGTGGTGCAGATCAACAGCAGGATCGTCTGTACAGTAACGAAGGAGCTGTGTGTAACTACAGTGGATGACAAACTGTAATCAGCTTATGACTCTATCAGAGTCGAGTGTGCAGCTGCAGGACTGTGGGGTTTTACCATGGATTGTGATTTGTTGTGATTTTTGTCCTAAAAACAAGGAAATCCCCTCTGAGCTTTTTGTGATCTGATAAAAGGTCTCACAGTTCAGCATGTGTGGTGCTTTCCAAAAAACAGGCATTACTTGCCACAGACTTTTAGCAGCATTGCAATTAGTGTCATCAGATTTGCCGGTATTTCATCAGAAACCAAATCATTGGACAATTTTAAATGTGTAACTGATGATGGTGCATTCCAGCCAAAATACATGGGGGAAGTTAAGCCAGCTATTTTACTGTAATTCCACATTACATTCTTATGCATCACCAAAATTAATTTTAGACCCTAAACCATCATGCCATATAAACGGAAGACAGACTGGCCTTCAACTCCTCTTGTGGATTTGGACAAAGAGGAACAACATCACCATCTGGTACACTGCTGCCACTGCCAGGGACAAGGGCAGGCTGCAGCCTATCATTCGCTCTGCAGAGAAGGTGATTGGCTGCAATCTTCCTTCTCTTCAGGACCTGCACGCCTCCAGGACTCTGAGGCGAGCAGGAAAGATTGCAGCTGACCCCTCCCACCCCGGACACAAACTGTTTCAGACTCTCCCCTCTGGCAGGAGGCTGCGGTCCATCAGGACCCAAAAACAAAAGGCCACAAAAACAGTTTCTTCCCGTCTGCAGCTAGACTCATCAGCAAGACACGGGACCCTCACTGACACTCATTTTTCTCTATTCTTTTAATTATTCTTATATAACTTGCATTGTCTATTCCATATTTATATATTTCTACATTTATTTATGTCATCTGTATGTTTGTCTACGTGTAGCACCTCACCAAAACAAATCCCTTGTATGTGTAAAACAGTACTTGGCAATAAAGCTCCTTCTGATTCTGAATAGGAAGTCCTTAGCCCTCATCAGGAGCAAGTTGAGCCAGTTGGTTGAGGTCAAACATGTAGTCTGCAATTTCCATCAGCCACGTCATGGCAGGAGTCCATGACTATGATTGCCTTCACTGACACAGTGACCATCTCCAAAGACCAAAATGGTGTTAGAGAGATGTTCAGACAAGACTGTGTTACATTCTCTAAACTAAACATTTAACGCTGCAGCTCCTTGATCCAATCCATTAAAAAGTTGTTCAGAAAGTTCCATCAGCATTGGACCAGTTAACATTAGAGCCACTATCATGGCTAAAACGGTATAAATTACCATCAACACTAACTTTGTTTTCTTGTCCAGGTGTATCCAGAGCTGCAGATCAGATGATGAAGAGGGACCAGGTGAAAGCTTCTGTGGAGAGATCTGTGGAGAATGGGGTGAGAGACTTTTTGTCTGAGAAACGTATGAGAAGATAGATAGCAGTCTCTGTAATACAATAAAGAAAGAAGTCCAGAACATGGTTAGCCTAGCTTAGCAGAAAGACTGGAAGCAGGGGGAAATCAACTAAATCAACACCTTAAAGTTGTTCTGATTTACATGTTGTATGTTGAACAGGTGTGGAAATAGAAAAGGACACATGGTGGATTTAGCATCAGTTAGCCTTGGAGTTATTGTTGGATGAATTGGTGACTAGTAAGGTAAAATTTTCACTGCACTTTTCACTAGTAAAACAAGTGAAACAACTTTACAAACAGCCAACTAGAGCCTCTGTTACCTGTGCTGTAATTTGAATGTAGAGAAAGTTGAGTATTGCAGCTTTAAATCCTGCGGTGGTGTGAAGGCTGCACTGTGTGTATCTCTTAAAGGTTGTTCACGTCCACTTGAAGGTGAACTCTGACTGTGTGTGTTGCAGGTCTCAGCTGCTCGTCTGGACGTGACGCTGAGCGACTTGCAGGATCTGGCAGCCCGACAGCAGCAGCAGATCAATGCCCAGCAGCAGCTGTTGGCCTCCAAGGTACAACACGCCCAAGGAGTTCAAGGAGTCCTGATTTGTGCGTCTAAACAATTACAGACAAGTTTGAAAAATTCTCACGCATGTGCTTTAGGAAGTTACAACATGTGGCTATACTATTAGCATGACATTAGCTCTAAACTGTTGGATGACACAAGTTTGTTAAAATGGCAGGGACGGGATAATTTGAGCCAAAATACATGGGGTAAGTTGAGGCAGCTGTTTGACTGTAATTCTACATTGCATTCTTACACATCACCAAAATGATGTGACGTTATGAATTTTAGACCAGAAACCATCATGTCATGCTTCTATAAATGGAAGACAGACAGGGCTTCAACTCCTCTAGTGGATTTGGACAGCTCGGTGGGAGTGGGATAGAACAGGAAGTCCATATGTCAACAGGATGACTTTTCAGTGATCCACCGATATGAAATAACTTGGGAGCTGCAACGTTTCACTATTGAAGTTTAATGAAATGTTGTGAACTGGCATTTGAGTTTGTGAGACACAATTACACTGATGTCTACAAACACCCATGTGGCTCAACTTACTCCTTAGTGGGCCCACTTTCTCATGGACAGTCATATTTTGAAAACTGTTTATTTTAGATCCAAAGTGATTATTCCCAGGGACGCATCACATCCTGTACATATTTTAGTTAGAGACATTACTTTCATGTCCTCACTTTCAATACGGATCAAGTAAAAACTGGCTAAACGCACCCCGGTCTACAAATTCACAAAACCCATCAAATTCAGCCACTACAGATTTTCTGAAAACAATCTATCTATATTTCTACTAGCAAACCAGTATTACATTATGGCTCCTACTGTTTGTTTTTAACCTGCCAAAATGATCTGTGGGGCCCTTACAGACCCCCCTGTTCTCTCTGTTACCTGTGGACTAGCAGAGTCTGAAACTCCCTCCCTCCACTTCTTTCTGCTGGTGTTCAATCTCACCCCAGACGTTAGTGCCTTGCCCTGCAGGCTGCAGCTCACTCTGAGCTGACACAGATGTACGAATCGACTGACTGAGTGTTTTCCGGGTGACTGGATGTTGCAGGAACAACAGCTGCGATACCTGAAGCTACAGGATCAGCGGCAGCAGCAGCAGGAGGTGTCTGAGCAGGAGCGACTGCAGCAGCTCAGAGAGAACGCGCACAACCAGGAGGCTAAACTGCGTCGGGTCCGGGCCCTCAGGGGCCAGGTGGAGCAGAAACGCCTCAGCAACAGCAAACTAGGTCAGTGTGACGGAGGTCTGGGTGGCTGGATGTGTTGGTGGAATTTTTTCTGTTAAAAGCTTGGTTTTATTGGTTTAAAGTGTGGCTGCAGAATCAACAGCATCCTGATGTAGCCTGAAGTTCGGGTTTTCTCCATTCACTTCAATGCACTTTTCTTAGAGCAGCATCTTGTGGCTTTTAGGGGAACGGCATCCTGAGACACACTAGGCCATTTTTAGTAAGACTTGAGTCTGTTTTTCAGGAGCAGCGGTGATGATTTCTGCCCTAGAAACATTCACCATTTTTATTAACAAGGCGCTCCACACCGGAGTCACAGTTTGAGTCATTTGTGTGTGTTTGCACGGTGCGTCTCGCTCCTCACTACAGTTCACTGGATTGATGTGATTGAAATGTGATTTGTGTGACCGTTTTGCGAGGAAAATGTTCTGCCTCTGAAAAGCAGCAGTAAACACAGTGCAAAGGAGATTTAACTCTGTCAGAAGGGGAATGTAAGGAAAGAAGACTGTCATTATTCTAGAGAAGTCCCAACGACATCAGAGTTATGGTGCCTTCAATTTATCTCGGAAGTCGGAGGTCAGAGCTGGGAATGACGTCACCTGATCTGAGTTGGTGGCGTTCCTTTGGAACAACAGATTTAAGTCAAACCAATATTGATGCCTCTGGCCACTGATAGCAAAACCAGCTCATAACAAGGCATCATGTGGTATTTTACACATACAAACATCGTAGCAACATGTCTACAGACATAAGATGGACTGAACTGTGTTTAATGAAACACAAATAAGACAGATGGGCAATGAACAGTAAGTTACTACAGTTTTCACTGCTGTTGATTCCAGGAGCAGCCTTCTTGGATTTTGAGGTCGGGTTTGGTGAGGTTCTCCTGACTTTCCGAGTCAGAAATCCAACTTATAGGGGCATCTCTGGGGACTCGTCTCTAAGAAAAATATCTATTGAATCATTTGTAGCCATCGTTGGTTTCCCTTCAGTATAAAAGGTGAACGTCAGCTCACCTGTGTACCTGAGACATTGCTGCTGTTAGCGTTAGCTGGATCTGGGGCGTCATTGTAGCTGGGAGAGTGCGACACGTTGAACACGATGCGTTCCTTCAGATTCACGCCGTGTTGGACTGGAAACAGGACTGGAAACGGAAGGAATCTCTTTTTCATGCTTTGACGTAACAAATGAGGTGACGTTAGGTCGGCGTAGCAGCTCCTGGCAGATAAGAGACACTTTGATGGACTGTAAAATGCTCACTGCAGTTCAGTCAGGAGCTGAGATATGTAGGAAGTTAGGAACCAAGACGAAGCAGAATCCAAACGCACGGGTTTTGGACAGTCCAGTCCAAGTCCAACTTGGAAACTGTTCTCGATACCCAGTCCGATGAGCTGCTGCCTTTGTAAATCAGGCACTGGATCCACTCCATTGTTGCCTGATTATTCAGTGAAAAGAAAAATGGTTTCAATGAATCTTGTTGGTTTTGCTTTTCAGAACAAAACAAAAGCAGAATTAATTTTACAACCCGCAAACTGAATGGTGTAAAATCAGGAGGAAGCCAAAGAAAACAAATGAGTTTTACAAGCTAATAAAAGATGTGTACTCTGGCTTTGACTTCGGTCAGCTGTGATCATTGGCTCACACAACTTCACTGAACTTCACCTCATGGGATTTCTGGGTAATGAATTTTGGGTTACCACTTGCAGTTTGTAATTAAACTGGGTCATCGCAGCAGCTAACTGTGTAAAATCAGTGTACATCTGCCCAGTCAGCAGAAATCATTCCACAGCCATGTGTGCCGACAGACCAGCATGGACCAAATCAGATTAAACAGATCTGACCCGGACTCAGGGTTATCATTATGGAAATTAAGGATCTGCTTTCTATGTGAAATGTAAGTGTGATTATTTCATCCTTTCAGGTTCACATCTGCTGAGCTGCATGTGTGTTCAGGGACTTTGTCTTTTACCACGTAGCTTCAGATATACTTTTGTTTTCTTATATTTTATAATAATAAACTTTATTTATACAGCATTTTTCAAAACAAAGTTACAACGTTGAACCAGGAACAAAAACATTTCAGGTCTGCAATGACATAAGATCAGACAAACACTCTAATACATGAATAAAATGGAAATAAAATACCCTAAAGTAATTTTTTTTTTAAATGAAAAGCAACAGAAAGGACAAGCTTATTTTTGAAGCCCAGGTATTGGCACTTGTATTGATCGTGTTGCGTCTGTGTGTCAGTGGAGGAGATTGAGCAGATGACCGGCCTGTTCCAGCAGAAGCAGAGGGAGCTGCTGGTCGCTGTGTCGAGGGTGGAGGAGCTGAGCGACCAGCTGGAGGCGCTGAGGAGCAGCAGGCTGGAGCCTCCTCCTCCTCCTCATCACCACAACTCCTCCTCTTCCTCCTCCTCCACAGCAGAGCTGGAGCGCCTCTACAAAGAGCTGCAGGTGAGATCTCTGTAGAGTATCGGCATTAGCAAATTGTCACCATGAAACTCTCCTGGTTCAAGCATCAAAACAAACAACACACGGACCTGAAAAATAAGAGCATTTGGGCTGCAACTGAAGATGATATAATTTATTTTCATGATTAATTGATTAATCTGTGGTCTTCAAACTGTCCAAATCCCAAAATATATTCCATCTACAATCAGCCAGTCAGCATAAAGTCACATTTTAGAAGCTGGAAACTGCAAATTACGTTTGTTCAGGGTTTTTTTGGATAAATAATAATTGCATATTAAAATAGTTGCTAAATTATTTTCTAGAGATTGACTTATCAATAAAATAACTAATTGTTGGAGCTCTATTTGGTGAACTTGACCAACCAGTAGCATACCGTTTTGAAGGTTCTGACCGTAGATGGTATCTTGTCAGGGTTTGTGTGTGGTGAAGCAGGTTGTAGGAACCAAACGCAGGACACAGAGCGGAGCAGGTATATTTAATAAACAAAGGGCGAGCACACTTACAAGAGCGGCTGAGTTCAGGAAATCCAAAATTACACAATCCAACACAAACAGGGTAATCCAACAGAAAAATCCAGAAACAGGTCAAAATCCAAAATCCAAACGACTGATGGGGGACAAGCAAAATGAGACTGAGCAGACGAGCAAAATGCACACTGTAGCACAAGGTAACGCAAGGTAATGACCGGACAAAGACTAAACAGAAACACTAGGTATATACACACACACAAGGACTAACGAGCAGGAAGTGAGCAACATAGGTGACAGAGATCAAGGTTAATGAGGCACAGGCAGGCAGAGAGAGAGAGCAGGGGAAAACAGAAAAAACTTCACAGGCAGACATGGGCAAAATTAATAAACAACAAAGAGAGAAACACACACATATTACAAAGTACCAGAACCTAAACGAGAACACAGAACTAGAACACAGAGTACAGAGCAGACTAAACCAAAATAATGTAAATAAGAACTAGGAGTGAATACTAAGAACTAAGGTACAAGACTAAGAACTAAGATGCGAGACAAGAAAGATACTAAGTAAGATGTGGATGAATAATAATAAAGGCTTAACAGAGACTAGAGCTGAATGAACAAAATCAGATTACTGAAACTGGCAGAAAACATAAATAGACAAGCAGGCAGAACTCAAGCATGAAGGTACGGAACTAATACATGAGACAGGAACAGAACTGAAATCAGGAAAATACCAAACCACCACTAAACACCAGCTGACAGATAATAACCCCACAACCAGACACACAGACAGTAACAGACCAACCAGCACAAGCACACAGAGTAACTGGACACAAGAAATAACTGAAACTCAAAACACAGACAAACTATATAACAGATACTGGACACTAGACAGGACAGAACCCAAAACTCAACATACTATAAGACAGATACTAAACAGACTATAAATAACATGACTGACTGAAGACAACCAACAGACCAAAACAGAACAGACAGTGTGACATATCAGTCCTGAATGTTAAACTGACGTTTAGGACTGAACATTTTAAGGGGCGGAGGTATTAGCCTACTTCACCCTCTAGCGCGCCTGTGGCGAGGCTCTTTAGCCTGGGCAGTGCTGTGCTGACTCCGAGGAGGAACAGGTTGTCTGACAAACGATTTGAGAGACTCCTGCCCAGGGTGTGAACTACTGCATCTGGGGGGTTTCCACAGTGTCACACAACTTTCTAAATTCTTCCCTCTCACTGTTTTCCTTTGAAGTCTCAGCATCATCTGATATTTTGATGAGGGCCAGTGTCCTATGTTTTTATTGATATTATTTTCAACAAATTAATATTTGAACTAGATGGTTGGAAGGACAACCTATTTTAAGTTATGTTGTATAGTAATGAAATTCAATATTTAAAAAATAAATTTTCCAATGAAATTAAATTAATCAATTAAAGTTCTAAGTATTATAGTACTGCACTCTAGCCTTGTTCTTCTCTTGACAAAGGTTGGTTGATGTTCGCAGCTTTGTAGTATTAAAGAGCATAAAAGAGAGATCCTGTGTATGTCCGCATTATAATAAGAATTTGTGTTGATTTGTGCATATATGACGTGTAACTTTATTGTTATTGTGCATCACAGGTGATGTTAAGCAGTAATCCAAAAGTAATTTAACTAGTAGTGTAACTAGTTACTTTCAGCAGTGAGTAATCTAGTAAAGTAAGGCATTACTTTAAAAAAAGTAACTAGTAATGTGTAATCCATTACCTTTTTTGAGTAACTACCCCAACACTGACCGTGACAGAGATGCTCACAAGTCTTTGAGCTAGAGTCCAAGTCTCAAGTCTTTGAGCTAGAGTCCAAATCTCAAGTCTCTGAGCTAGTGTCCAAGTCAAGTCAGAGCACAACCATGTAACGTGCAATGCAACTAATGACATTGTCAGGGTTTTCAGGCAGAGAGGACCCAAACGCAGATATGAGTTTCGATATTTTATTCAAAGGAGGATGAGGGAAATCCGTGAGCGGGGAAATGTCCAGGCTGCGGGCTGGACCGAGAGCTTACTGGCTGGTTGTCTGCTGAGGCAGTGGAGGTCTTCTGGGACAGAGAGAAACACAGGTTAGACTGGAGCAGACAATAATCACCATGCAAACTGATTCTAAGATTGGCTGGGGCCCCTCCCCCGACGGCGCCACCTGGCGGCTCACCAGGCTTCCCTGGGTACCTCCGATGGAACTCCCTCAACAGACCAGGGTCCAGAATCCGGCGCCGAGGGACCCAGCACCTCTCCTCCGGTCCGTACCCCTCCCAGTCCACAAGGTACTGGAAGCCCCGGCCCCCGGCCTGACGGTACCATGACGTCCCTTTCCTGAGAGGGAAACAGAGGAGGTTGAAAACCATATAAGCACTGAAAGGGGGACAGACCTGTGGCCGAGGGTGGGCATATTCGACCCAGTGGAGTTGGGAGGCCCAGGAGGAGGGATTGGAGGAGACCAGGCAGCGAAGGGTCTTTTCCAACTCCTGGTTGGCACGCTTGGCTTGACCGTTGGACTGAGGATGGAAACCGGAAGTTAGGCTCACCATGGCACCGATGGCGAGGCAAAAGGACTTCCAAAGAGCTGAGGTGAACTGATGGCCACGATCAGAGACAATGTCACAGGGCAAACCATGGACACAGAAAATCTCTTTTGCCAGGACCTCGGCAGTAGCTTTAGCAGAGGGAAGGTTAGGTAGGGGCAGAAAATGAGCAAAATTAGTAAATCGATCAACCACGGTGAGAATGACAGTGTTACCATCAGAAGGAGGTAGGCCAGTGACGAAATCTAGAGCAATGTGAGACCAGGGGCGTCGAGGAACTGGGAGGGGTAGGAGCAGTCTGGTGCTGGGTTGGTTCGACCCCTTATTCTGGGTGCAGATGGAACTCGCAGAAACAAACGATTTTGTGTCTGCCTCCATAGTGGGCCACCAGAAATGCCTGCGGAGAAAGAAAGGGTGCAAGAAACTCCGGGATGGCAGGTTAGTTTGGAGGAATGCGCCCATGTTAAAACTGCTGATCTGACAGAAGGTGGAACAAATAAGGTGCGGGGTGGAGTATTACCAGGACCAGGGTCATTACGGAGAGCCTCTCTCACCTTGTTTTCGATGTCCCAAGTGATTGCTCCGATGATGCAGGAGTCGGGCAGGATGTGTGTCTGGAACTGGGGTCACGTTTACCTCCTCGTTTAAGGCTCTGGATAGGGCGTCGGGTTTGATGTTTTGAGAGCCGGGTCTGTAAGTCAGAGAGAAGCTAAATCCAGGAGAAGGGTCTGTTGGGAGAAGTGAGAGAAGTAAGAGGAGCAGCCACACGACTGTAGTTCCGGGTAAACCTCCAGTAAAAGTTAGCAAACACAAGGAACCTCTGGAGTTGTTTACTGGTTGTAGGGCTGGGCCACTCTTGCACCGCTTTTACCTTGGACGAGTCCATCATGACCCACCCCTTGGAGACAATGTAGCCCAGGAAGGTGACCGTGGAAACGTGAAACTCACACTTCTCCGGCTTGGCGAACAGACGGTTCTCCAGTAACCTCTGCAGGACCTGGCGGACATGCTGGACATGTTCAGTGTCGTCCTTGGAAAAAATCAAGATGTCATTGAGGTAGACAAAAACAAAGCGCCCCAGCATATCCCTTAAAACGTCATTAATTGTTATTATTGTATAATTGTCATTATTGTCTCTTGGGTATTATTGTCTTTACACTTGTTAAAGCACTTTGTAACTTGTTTTTGAAAAGTGCTCTACAAATAAAGATTATTATTATTATTATTATAATAATGAGGCACTGAAACACAGCTGGGGCGTTAGTCAGACCGAAGGGCATAACTAAGTATTCGAAATGGCCCAAGGAGGTGTTAAACGCCGTTTTCCCATTCGTCCCCCTGATGAATCCTGACCAGGTAGTAGGCGTTACAAAGGTCTAGTTTGGTGAAGATGGTTGCCCCCTGCAGGGAATCAAAGGCTTCAGACATGAGGGGTAACGGGTACTTATTCTTAATGGTGATATTGTTGAGACCCCGGTAATCAATGCACGGGCGCAGGCTCTTATCCTTCTTTTCTACGAAGAAAAAGCCTGCCCCTAGGGGGGGAGGAGGAAGGTCTAATGATTCCGGCGTCCAAAGAGTGTTTGATGTACTTTTCCATGGCTTCGCGCTCAGGTCTGGATATATTGTAAAGCTTACTGCCAGGCAAGGGGGCACCTGGAAACAGGTCTATGGCGCAATCATAGGGGCGGTGGGGGGGCAAGGTCAGGGCTCGTTTTTTACTGAATACTTCGGAGGTCGTGGTAAACCGGGGGAACGTGAGCCAAGTCAGGTGTAACAGCTGAGGAGCTGGGTACCGGGACAGACTGGGGTGAGGCTGATCAAAGACACTCCGAGTGACAGGCGGGGCTCCAACTAGTGACTTTGGCTGAGGACCAATCGATACTGGGGTTGTGTTTGACTAAGAACTAAGGTTCTTGGAGGGAAATGGTCAGACCCAACTGTTTGAGTTATCCAAGAAACTCTCATCTGCCCCTGAATCAATAAAGGCTAGCAAGACACTGGACTGACCTTCGTGAGAGATGGTGGCTTGGAGGTAAGTGCGATGGTGAGAAGATGGAGCGGTTGTTCGGCTCGCTAGGGTGCTCCCAAGCTCTAGCGATCACGCCTGTTTGACGACCTTCTGGAGCAGGTGGCTAGGTGATGGCCCGGCTGGCCGCAATACAGGCAGCTGTTGGTCTGGCTACGGTGCTGGCGCTCTTTGGGAGTGGCCCAGTTGCAAGGGCTCTGCCTCCGGAGATGGTGCTCTGCGGTCGCTTGCCTGTGAGGAGAAAGGTGTTACTGGCTGAGGCGGTGAGAATGATCTTACCGTCCCAGACTGGTGTGGGGCTTGTGGGTCGAGGGCTGTTAGCAACCGCTGTTAGCCGTCTCTCTCTCCTGCTTTTCCGGCAGCAATTATCTATACGGATAGACAGAGAAATCAGTTCATCCAGATTTGAACTCTCAGGGTAAGAAACTAGTTCATCCTTTAGCTGTTCAGTCAGACCGTTGGAAAATACAGAGGTTAAAGCCTCATCATTCCAGCCACTCTCCATAGCCAGGGTCCGGAATTCGACGGCGTATTCCGCCACACTGTGTCTCCCCTGGTGCAGGTGTAACAGTCTCTGGGATGTCTCATTACCTCTCACCGGGTGATCAAAGACCTTCCGCATCTCGTTCGTGAAGGCAGCGTAAGGGTCTGAAATAGCCAAGCGTCTCTCTCATGCCGCGGTTGCCCACTCACGCGCCTCGCCCCAGAGGAGTCCGATCACGTAGGCGATCTTCGATTCTTCCGTGGAGTATGTTCGGGCTGCTGAGCAAAAACGAGATCACACTGGAATAAGAAGGCTCGGCACTGACCCAGATTCCCATCGTACCTTTCAGGTGCAGGGACCCAGGGCTCCCGGTCGGGTTGGTGGGAGGCCGCGGTTGCGGCAGGAAGAGAAGTGGGACTTGCGGAGGCTTCAGTGGCTGGGGGAAGAAGCTGCTGCTGGAGAGCGGCGACGGAGGTGGTGAGGTCGCGGAGAGCATCAGTGATCTCTCTTAAGGCTCTACCTTGTTGACCGAGAACCCCCTCCTGATGACTTATGGCCTGACGAAGATTCTTGAGATCCGCTGGGTCTGTCATGGCCGGATCGTACTGTCAGGGTTTTCAGGCAGAGAGGACCCAAACGCAGATCTGAGTTTAGATAGTTTATTCAAAGGAGGATGAGGGAAATCCGTGAGCGGGGAAGTGTCCAGGCTGCGGGCTGGACCGAGAGCTTACTGGCTGGTTGTCTGCTGAGGCGGTGGAGGTCTTCTGGGACAGAGAGAAACACAGGTTAGACTGGAACAGACAATAATCACCATGCAAACTGATTCTAAGATTGGCTGGGGCTGACACGACATACGTGTGGAGATTCAACGATCTGGCGAGGACTGGATGTCTGGGTCTCCTATTTAGGCGGTGGCTGATGGCGGGAAACAGAGCAGGTGTGCTGATTGCTGATGGGTTTCAGGTGAGTGCAGAGCCTGCAGCAGGCACGCCCCCAGCTCCCAGAACAGGCTCACAGCTGGGGCCTTGTGACAGACAGCTTATTAACTACTGTAAGTCATCTCAAACCAGTGTAACGTTAACTAAATTAAACTGTAACGTTACATGATCAACAGTAAACCTTTAACCTGTTTATCGCTTACAGAGCACAACCATGTGGCCTAATGTACAATGCCACTGTAAGTCAACACACCCCCCAGACTCTCAAACCCAGTGTAACATTATATCGACGTAAATGATTACCTTAATCAACCACCACAAGTTTGGCAAGTAAACAAGTGCTCATTCATCTTTTTATAACGAACACACACAGAGTCCGAGTCAAGTCTGAAGTTTTGAGGACTTAAGTTGAGTCTGAAGTCACTGTGTGTGTGACTTAAGTCGGACTCGAGTCCCAGTCTTAAACTCAAGTCCCCATGTCTGCCGTGAAATCAGCTACGCAGCAATATCTATCAGAGTTTGCTAACATTAGCTAACATTAGCCTCCGTAAGCTACGGCTAAAACAGTCTTTATAGCAACAGCTCACAGTCTTTAGAGCCATTACAAACACCAAACTGAGGTGAAAAACATGATTTCATGAAGCACGATTAATTACCCAGAAGACTTTGTGTATTTGGGAACACTGAAGATACATTTAAATCAACATTTAAAAGAAACTATCAGACTGAACAGTGGTAAAAATCCCTTCATGGGCACGAGGCTATACCAACGTCACCTGTGGAGTGCAAATTTCAGAAAAAGCCTATCTCATTAATTAGGTCTTTCATCAGGCTAACTAGCTTCTTAGACCACAACAAGCTAGTGTGGGTAGTTTTAGTCATCAGGAAGGCTAGGCTAACTGGCTAACATAGACTTTACAATATCACCGTCCTCATGTCTTACATATTCTCACCTGTTCTTCATCTTTGACCTCCCAGCTGAGGAACAAGCTGAACCAGGATCAGAGCGGCAGGCTGCAGCAGCAGAGAGACAGCCTGAACAAGAGGAACCTAGAGGTGGCGGCGATGGACCGACGGCTGGCCGAGCTTCGGCAGCGGCTCTGGAAGAAGAAGGCGGCCCTGCAGCAGAAGGAGAACCTGCCAGTGAGTGCACAAAATCAAAAGAATAAATCAGAAACATGTTTAGTTCTAAAGGGAGTTTGACCCTTTATACTGGAGCAGCTTGTAATGAGCACAAAATCAGAAAAAGCCTTATTTACTGAATTACCTCCAAGTAACCTCTAGAAACTAGCATCTACCTGCAGACATTAAACTTAACATCCACCATTCCCTCCAGGTGGCTTCAGACAGCATGGCCCCTCACCATGGCGTGGGCTCCAGAGTGGCGGCAGTGGGGCCGTACATCCAGTCATCTTCCACAACATGCTCTCAAGGGCCTCAGGTGCCGGCCCGCCAGGATGTTCTGGTGAAGCCGGCGTACCCGGATGGCACTGCCACCCTGCCCATGCCCGACTCGTCCCTGAAGCCACCTCCCAGACCGGCCAAACCAGCCTCAGGTGCTCAATGCAAAGCTACAACTGAAAGAAAAAGAACAATATTTTTAAGTTTTAAGTTATTTAATCTCAAACATAATGTCTTTGACGCTCCGTCCATTTCTCTGCTCTTTATAGGTTTCACCAAAATAACCAAACTCTCTGACTGGAGCAGCTCATTTTCTGAATCCAGTAGAGGTAACGGACACGCCTCTACCCTGCCTCGCATGTCCGGCCTCAGCTGCCACAACTCAGGTCAGTCATTTCTATAGAGTCCAGAACATATGAAGTTGTTTTTAGGTACCAGTAAGAAGGATATAACATTTCTCTGCCTTTTTATTATTATATTTTGTCATGGTTGAATTATCAATCTCATAAGTGTCTCTGTTGATGCATTCAAAGACACTCCTGATTTGGCTGCTTGAAAGGAATGCATTCACAAGTGATTTTTATTAAAAGATCAAACCCAGAAGAAAAGGAATAAAGCAATGTTCGTTCTTCAAGATTAAAAGAAATGCCACAGAGGAGAAGACATTTGTGTTATGATGATGATGATTGCCCCTCTTGTAGGTGGTAAGACCCTCACGGACCAGAAGAGCCTCTCTGGGTCTGACATCCCGCCCACTGTACCCTCACGGACCAATCACATCACTGACAACCTGCTCAGGGACAATCAGGTATCAAAGACTCCCACGCCCATTCCTTACTAAACAACAACAAACATCAAGTTCATTAAACCTTTAGTGAGGTGAAATCTAAAGAATTATAAGTATTGTGGATGTGTTGAAATATAGTGAACCAACAGCTCCAATGACCTGAATGATGGGATAGTTCTGAAAGACATTCAAAAGAGTCTGTGGCTCGCTTGACACACCTCTGAAATGTGGGATTGGATTCTCCTGAATGAATTTCCTCTGCCTGGAGATGATGGGGAAATGAAAATAAGCATCCAGAGGTTGATGTGGACCAATCAACTGGACGCCCACACTCCAACACATGCTTTATTGTGAGCATGTGAAACAGTCTCTTCATAATTACTTTGTTGAAGAGGAAAGATATTTGCTTGTGTGGGGATCAAACACACAAACCTGAGGTTAAGCGTCCCACACTCTACAGACCCGCTATCTAATGGGTTAAAAAAATTGTCCCGAAGCCAAACATACTTGCCAACCCCTGGTCTAGACCATACTCTTTTTAATATTATTAACAAAGACCGAACAATTCCCACCATGAGCAACCACTTTTCCACAGTGGCAAGGGAAACCTCCATTAACCGGCAGAAACCTCAAACAGAACCAGGCTGTGCTGTGTTGAGTGTGCATGTCAGGCAGCTAGTCAAGTATAATCAGACTTTAAAAGCAGCTCTGGTGCAAGGTGATGTGCAATTTATCAAAATGGTATTTAGCTGTTGAATTCTCATCTTTGTTTCTACCTAAGCCTATATAGCATTTCAGTTCATAATTAAAACAACAAACAAATTCTGTATGTAGCAGTAGGCCGTGGTATCTACATTACAATATTACATTTAGCTGATTTATAAAAGTTATTTTATTCATTTCCACTGAGTATAATGGTCTTTATTTCTGTGTACTCTGTGTTTCACCTTTAGGTCTCAGTTAAAGGTCAGTCCAAGATGGCGGCGCCACCTCCAGTTCCCAGTAAGCCCAAACCGATCTCCACTGGCCCACCAACTTTCTCCAAGCCCCTCTACAGCACTGGGACCTTTCCTGGCAAGGTGCGGCCAGTCGGGGCCCACCTCAGGGCTCTGGGAGTCCTCTCCAGCCACAGCCACACCCTCCCTCTGCCCAACAAGCAGGAGAGTCCGCCAGCCGCCGCCGTACGACCATACACCCCCGACCTCTCAGAGCCCCCGCCCCCTGTGCTGCAGAAGCCTCAGACTCTGGCGGCTTCGTCCATCTACTCCATGTACACCCAGCATGCCACGCCAGGGAAGGGCTACCAGCCGAGCGGGCAGGGAACGCTGCCTCGCAGCCAGCCCAGAGGTGATGCACTAATACGGTTGATACTTACAGCAATGACATCACTGTTGGTTATTATTAACATGTGGCACCACTTTGGTTCAGTACACCCTGTGTTAAATAATTATTTATTATTTCATTATAAATACATTTAGTATTTAGAATCTGGTCTGAGGCAAAAATCAAGAAATATAATAATGTGAAGTGATTTCATATAAGATTAACAAAAGAGAAAATCGGGAGAAGCTGGAAGCAGAGTATATTTGACCCAAACGATTATTGACTAATCGATAAATTTAGTAATCGATTCAACTTTAAAACAGATGTTGGTGTTGCTGTCTCCACCCCCTCACAGTGTATGGCAAACCAGTTCTCCCAGCTAGCGGGGGGCAGCAGTCTATCGGCTCAGATGGCCCAATCATGAATTCTGGATCTTGCGTGGTGGGCGGGAGTGAGGTTGACAGCGGTTGCCTGGGTAACGGCGAAGGTTTCGGAGCAGAGACGGCGGAACGAGCCACCCCGCGACCACTCAGCCCCACCAAGCTCCTCCCCTTCCTGTCCAACCCCCACAGGAACCCCAGTGACGCCGACCTGGAGGCCCTGCGCCGCCGGCTGCACCACGCTCCCCGGCCCCTGAAGAAACGCAACTCCATCACGGAGCCGGAAGGACCTGCTGGACCAAACATCCAGAAGCTGCTGTATCAGAAAACCACTCTGGCTGCGATGGAGACCATCCCCATGGAGACAGGTGGTCCTCGTGGCGTTCACGAGGACAGGATGGGCGGTGCAGATGTAGCGTCCAGAGTCGAGGACAACACCAGAGCGGGCTTCAACCAGCCGCTCGCTGAGAGCCCAGAGGACAGCCTGACTCCGCCCCCTCTGCCCCCACGCTCACCCATCGCAGACCCCACCTCCTGTCGCTTACTGCCCCCCCCTTTGGAGGACAAAGAGGAGGAAGAGGAGGAGGAAGAGGTGCGTCCGTCCGCCTCGTCCCTCCAGGACTACTTTGCAGACGAGTTCCCGCCCTACCCGCCCCCACCTTACCCTACCTGTGGTGACGGGGAGCAAGGAGATGATGCCCCCAACCTGCAGCCGCCAGAGGTCACAGGACAGGTCACAGCGCCCCCGGTGAGGGTCAACAGTTTACAACAACATTTAGATTCTGATTACAGCTTTGCTTATTAAAGGCTCACTTCTTATTTCCTCTGTCTCCTTCTCTTCGGCCTCTCAGGGTAAGAGGTCGATCCTTCGTAAAGCTGGCTTGGAGCGGATTGACCGCAGCATGCGGGTCAAGTTTAACCCTCTGGCTCTGCTGCTGGACTCGTCACTGGAGGGCGAGTACGACCTCGTCCAGAGGGTCATCTATGATGTGAGTCTGGTCTTACTCTGTAGATCCACTAGAGAGAGAGAGAGTCGCCTAGTTTGATACAACTCAGAGACAAATGTACTCACATTTTCACAAACGCAGAAGAACAAGTGATCTCTACAAAGTGCTACTGTAAAATGTTCCTTACATCTTAGATTTGATAAGTTATATAAAAAGTGCTACAGCTCTTGAACGACAGATAAAAAAAGTGGATAGAATGTGAGCGGAGTGTTTTGGTCGGTGCATTTATTCTGTATTTAAATGTGCTGTTAATGTTGTCACTGTTTTTCAGGTACTTCTTTCATAATGTGAAATTTCAAATCTGCTATTATGTCAATTTAGATTTTCAGTGTTAGCCTTGTAAGTGAGATTAATGTGTGTACAGTATATGGAAAGTTTTGAGCTCAACATTTTTCATCCTAAAAGCCCTAAAATGCTTGAAATCAACAGATTGACTCCAGATTACATGAAAAATACATGATCGCATGTGAATTCTGCAGGTGGACGACCCCAGCATGCCGAACGATGAGGGCATCACGGCGCTGCACAACGCCGTCTGCGCAGGCCACACTGAGATCGTAAAGTTTCTGGTTCAGTTCGGTGTCAACGCCAACGCTGCTGACAGCGATGGCTGGTGAGTTTGAACCAGAATATCATCACGCAACAGGCCCGCTGACCCACCCATCTTTATTTAAAGGTTTTGTTATTTTTGTAAGACTTACTGGCTGTGACCATATTCATCCATCTTTCTGTCGCTGATTTTCATGGATATAGCTAGGTAGCTAGCAATGTAGGAAGATGGCGTCCCCATTTTTTAATCCCTCCCACAATACTCTCGATTGGCCCTATTGTTTCTCCCCCCGAGAAAACAGGTTTCAGTTAGCACAACAACGGACCTATTTCAATCATTGAGCAAAGCTGAGATGTGGAAGGCGAAACAGACATCTGGGATCAGGCTAATCAGTCTGGACCATTCTTTCAAATCTTTCTTCCTCCCTCTCTCTTCGTCTCCAGGACTCCCCTCCACTGTGCTGCCTCCTGTAACAACGTTCAGGTCTGTAAGTTCCTGGTGGAGTCGGGAGCGGCGGTGTTCGCCACCACATACAGCGATATGCAGACAGCTGCCGACAAATGTGAGGAGATGGAGGAAGGCTACGCCCAGTGCTCCCAGTTCCTCTACGGTGAGACAAAAACATAATGTGTCGCACTGTAGATTTCCTTAGCATTGGTCATGTAGCATGTTAACATCAAACCTCACTCTAGAAAAGGTGATCCCTGATGGGGTTTTGAGGATTCCAGAGGTTACATGATCTCTGGAGGTCATTGAAAGAGTTCAGGAAGAGCAAGAGTAGGCCTAGTTTGTCGCAATTATTATATTATATAATTATGCATTATGAAATTATGTGACACCTATAGTTACCTGATAGTAACAGCAATGCAGTTTAATATTACAGGTGACAGAAGTCTGGGGCAGCTAAACAAACTATTATCAGGGAGTAATTGATATTTTCCCATAATTATGTGAGCAGTCATGATCTGATTTACATACGTCTTCAAACCACAAAAGTGAAAGGAGTTGGTTAACGTTACCCGGCTGACAAGGTAAAGGTGTGCGGCCTGTCGCCTGTCTTCACCTAACAGCTGATGCATTACTCGCTGCAATATTTCAAAGTGGTCCGCTGTCAATGTCAAATGTTGAAAAAGACAAATTTTCATGAACGAGAGCGGTCACTGCTAATCTCACAGACAAACACACTGCATTTCCTGTGACTACTCCGTAATATCATTTAATTTGTGTTTCACCATTTAAATGCTTTTAATGTGAAGCTGCTGCAGCAGGAAATGTTCATTAGCAATAACTTAATACAGCATTTTTTCTGTGAGTTTTGCCACAGATGCACAGTTCATAATACTGCAAATATATAAATATTGCAATACTTTGGTGGTCTGGATGTGGCCCATGGGCCACCAGTGGATGATCACTGCCCACAGGCCACAAAATCCTGTTACTTTTCTAAAGTATGGCTCAGATTTCATCACTGCTTGATTACAGTATTAGCAGCTTTCCAATTTTTAATGATTTTGTTGGTTGCTAGCAGGTCCCTGCCCACTACCAGTCTTTGTGCTAAGCTAAGCTAAGCTAAGCAAGTCCAGGACATATCCAATACTTTCTACACAAAGTTTCAGAGGACCAATAGCCAATGAATAACCTTGTGGTAACAGTTTTCTCCTGCTTCCAGTTTTTGTACTAAGCTAAGCAGCTTCTGGACGCATCCGATATGATACACATAAATTTCAAAGAACCAGTCTCTCATATACCAAGAATGTATATTTCTGTAAACAAACCGGAAACGCTACTTGGCATGGGCTCGTCCGGGATTTGAAGCCAGACTTCTCGCACCCTAAACTAGAATCATACCCCTAGACCAATGTGCCACAAGAATCTGTCTGCGTTGTGAATAACACTCAGATTTCATCACTGTTTAATAATAATAGGAATAGCTTTGAATATAGTGGTCCTTTCTTATCACTTTGCGGGAACCATGTTAGCAGTTCCGCCCCGCTTCCAGACTTTCTGTTAAGCTCTTATTGATAGCAGTAACAGTGTTACCAACCACAAAATGTTTTTGGCAAGGGCTCATCCAGGATTTGAATACGGGACCTCTCACACCCAAAGCTAGACTCATACACCTAGACCAGCAAGCCACAAAATTTATCTTGTGTTTCGAAGAGAGAGATTCAATTTTATTAACTTTTGCGTTATAGTTGTAAAAGCTTTGCATAACTGTGACATTTCTCACTATTTTCATAATGTATTACGATTAAAATAGAAAATAATCAGCTGATTAATACTTATTAAAAATAATGTGTAATTGAAGTTTGATACAAAATAGTAGTACCTCAACCAACTACATTAATGCATGAGGAAAATTAATCTAATAATATAATAGATAATAGTCATATTGGACATTTTTTTCTTTCTGCTTTGAGTAGGCTACTTTTATTTTTAATAGCCTACTTCTACATTTTCCTGCTTATAGCCTACTTACATACTTTTACTTAATTTTTTCAATGCAGTACTTGCAGAGTATTGTTTCAGTGAGGTATTAGTAATTTTCTGAACAGACCTAAGTTACTTTGTTCACCACTGGCTAAAAAAGCCAAAGCTTCTGGTTGCAAAGAGGTTGGAGAGTTTTTGACTGCATCAATTATGTACTACCCAACATCAGCCGCTCTCACTACCTTTGATCACAGGCAAGCGATTTCCTCCAGGAATCATAAAATCAAAATACTAAAAAAAAAAAACAACACCTGCAGTTACTGCATTCATCGGGTCTTGTGCGTCCAATTTTCACTCCGTGTGTGCACACGCATCCATGTTGCCTAGTAACGAACGTGCTTTCAGCGGAATCACAGAATTACCCGGAAAGAACCGTTTTAATTTCTATTAGCTTAACGGCTCTGGCATTCATTACAGAGAAAGCTATGAACTTGGCAGAAAAATTACTGTCCATTAATTGAATATAGCGGAACAACTTTGAGGGCGTTATCTCTTAACTTACTTCTCAGTGTGAGAAATACAAGGTGTTGCGTGTGAGCTGCGTGAACAAACCACAACCCCTTCTTGGTATGGACTTGCCTGGAATTTGAACCTGGAACCTCTCATACCCGAAGCGAGAATCATAGCCCTAGACCAACAAGCCATAAAGGCTCACGTCTGTTCTGAAGTTTGATTACAGTAGGAACAGCTTTCCAAATATACAGTTTTAAAGGGTTCTTCCTCTCCGTTTGGGTTCTGACAGGTGTTCAGGAGAAGATGGGCGTGATGAACCGTGGCGTGGTTTACGCCCTGTGGGACTATGAGCCTCAGAGCGATGACGAGCTCGGCTTCAGCGAGGGCGACTGCATGACGGTGCTGAGACGGGAGGACGAGGTGGAGACAGAGTGGTGGTGGGCAAGATGTGGTGACCGTGAGGGCTACATCCCCCGCAACCTGCTGGGGGTGAGCTGACTATGCCAGTATACCCTGTAGTCATTACCAAATTACAGTTTTTTCTAGGAACTTCACGTTACTGAATCACTTCTGTTGTAGGAAATGATTTAAAAAACAGTGGGACCATAAAATAAAGTGTTTGAATAGCTGCAACAGACCTCATGTATGCAGATCGAGGGAAGATACAGTATGACGTCCGGCTCTGTTCTTTGAGCTTCATAGGGAATTGATCCGTCGACCTTGCCGGCGTCAATCTTCTCTTTCTTCCAGTAAATCGCAATGTTTTTTAATCGCGTTT